CAAGATAATATATGATTAGGTGCTAAATAACGTGACAAAGACTATATATCAATAAGCATCAAGTGCCTACAATGTGATGCAAGGCACTGCCCATAGTCAGCTTGGCAGGGAAAGCTTCATGGAATCCCCAATTTGATTTCTCCCACCCTCATCTTTCCAGCCCCAGTTACTAATACATGACCATAAAGACAAAATTTTGGCATACAGGCCCTTGTAGTAATTCAAAACAAGGCAAAGATGACTAGGTTGGCAGCACAGAATGGAGTAAGGGAAAAGATACCAGAGATTTTCATCCATATAGCAAATCTGAATCTTTCCAGTTGAAATTCCAGTTGTTTTCTTCTATGCCCAATTCTCAGTGATGGCTGAAGACATATTGGTCTATATTGGTCTAAATGGAGGCCACACCCCTAAAATGAGATCTTTTGAAAGGAAAAAATATAGGTAGATATGGAAAAGTAACACCAGTTACAAATCTCCCTCTAGGTTTCATACAAGCCAAATTTAAATTCATATATTCATAATATGTGAAGCACCTACTATGCACAGGGCTCTGTGCTGCATACTTGAGAAACAAAGAATTAAAAAATGAGCTAGTCTTTGCCCTCAAGGAGCTTACATTTTATTGGGGGCTACAACATGTACATAGATAAGGTAATTCAAGGGGGGAAATGCACACTTCACATTTGGAATAAGTAGTAAGCGAATTACCAATCCTTTTATTCATCAAATAAATTGAAATTTCTTTTCTACTCTTTATAAACTCTGCTTATTTCAATGTCATTTAGTAGCATGAATGGCAGTACTAAAGGATGTTCCGATTTTGAACAGATCATTTTGATTCTTGCTCTTGTGCTCTTTAATTTCTTGACATCATTTATAATTTATTAAGCTAGATCATGAATGTATTTCATACATTTTTTTCTAATCATCAACTGTGACTTCATAGGTTTAGGTATATAACTTAAAAATTTCATACCATAAATAAACTTCCATACCCTATCAACAACCTGCCTACTTATCTTTTAGCAGCCTTTACTAACATTGTTTTATCTCTACCACTAGTTTTTGGGTTTTTTTTGTTTTTTGCCAGGCAATGGGGTTAAGTGACTTGCCCAGGGTCACACAGCTAGTAAGTATCAAGTGTCTGAGGCCAGATTTGAACTCAGGTCCTCCTGACTCCAGAGCCTGTGCTCTATCCACTGCGCCACTTAGCTACCCCTTCTACCACTATTTTTGAAGACCTCTATTAGGTCTAACAATAAATTAAATTTTATGACTGCCCTAGGATGTATACCAGCAAAAGTAGTAAAGTGGTTAAACTAATATTCTTTTTTGCCTCCCATGACCTGAATTCAGACCCATTTCTCAAGAACGGACAATTTTTAAGAGAGCTGCATTGATGAATTCTACTAAATGTAGAAAAACATTAAGCTCATTCCCAAATCAACACTAGGTTTTCTTCTCTTTTCCCTCTTGTCAAGTGTTTACATGACCCCATCAATGATGTTCTTTCTCTCCCTCCCACCTCAAACACCTGTAAAATAACTACACCAGTACTGATGGCTATCAATGCCAGCAAATCAAATTTATTTCTTGTTGAAAGGTCACATTTTCTTTAGGAAGTTATTTCTATAAAGAAGACTTCTACACACACACCGCCCCAACCTCAGCACTACCTTATCCAAAGAAAGATGTCTTGACATTTAAGATATATAGCTCAAAAAATTCTGTTAAGATCAAAACACAAACCCAAAGACTTCACAACTCTGTGGGTTAGATTTCTGAAGATTCTAGATGTCACATTTTATTTACTACCAGATAAAATAACAGTCTTCAGAAAATACCACCCCAAGGTAAAACTTGTTAGGAATGTAGGGAAGAAGACTAGTAAAGAATTGCATGTTCCTATTACCTTCTCTAAACTATATTTTAGTTATACTTTTATTTCTTCAAGCATTTTGGGAGTCAAAATCCTCAAAGCAATAATATGCATATATAATATACATCACATGCTACTTAAATTCTATTTGTTGATTAAAATTAACTGATTCCCAATGCACATTAAACTTAAACCATAAAGAATATATTCACCAAAACCTTATTAATATCCTCTAATTTTTCAAGATATGGCAATTCTATCAAACAGCTCACTTGGGACTGCCATCACTTCTTGGTTCTATAAATCCATATTTGATTCTTTAAATTCTCATTTGCAAACAGATATAAAAAGGAAGAGAGAGTTTCTTCAAGGTCTTTTTTCTGGTCAAACACAATGAGATATACTAAATTTTACAAAGTGTTTTGGTGTTTTTTTTTTTGTTTGTTTGTTTTAGAGCCAAATACACATCAGGAAGCTAATGAAGAGAACAAAATAACTTTCCTCTATTGTTTCTGCTAAAATAAAATTGCACAACTGTTGAAAGTCTCTTATATTGCAAGTTTAAAGATAATAGAGTTGGTTCAAGCAGAATACCACTCCTGCACACACACTGGCATAAAACAAATCTTACTGTCTGTTAAGTAGCATATTCCTAAGTCTTGTTACAGCAATATTATCCACTTTGTAGCATTTTTAAACAAATGTTTGTCATTGAGAGGCAATGAAGGCAAGGAATAAATAAGGTAGGGTATCAATCTTACAATTTTGGCTGGAAAAATTATAAAGAAATAACAAATCTCCAGGTTAAAGAGGAGACATGCTTAAGTACTTTGCATTAACACAGATTGGAATGCCCCAAGAGACAATACTATGACTAGCACAAAAAAAAAAAAAAAAAAAAAGGTAACGCAGTGAAAACTGGGACTGAAGGAATACAAAGACCAAAATATGATGCCTGAATGCTTTTTTATGCACCACATTTAATGAAGTTTAAAGGGGAATCCTGGGTTGACACACTTGCTTCTCTGGAAAGGCTTTCCCATAAAGCTAACAGATGGGGAGGGATGGGGAGGGAGGAGGAGGGCGGGCAGGGGATGTAGAGAAATAAAGGAACAGTATGAGATTCTGATTGAGTCACTGTCTATACCCAGGGCACCAAATATCTTGGTTAACACTGCATATACAATACCCGCACTCAATTCAATCCTTCTGGCAGCTACAGTGATTACAACTGAGCTGTGAAAAACCATGTTTGTAGTGGGCTAAAAGCAGGGTTTTCCTCAGCACTGCCTCGGAAGGCGCCACGCAGACAACAGCTGCACAAGGTTGCCTGTTTCAATAGGATAGAGAGCTTGCAATTAACCACGTACTGCAATACCCTTCCTAGGTCCTTGAAACAATTAGATATAGAAAAAGTGTGTAAGCAGAAGAAAACATGTCTGGGTTACCATCACCCCTGGCAAAGTCCAATCAAAATAAATTACTAACGTGGAGGAGGGAGACATTGCACACATCTACAGCAGGCACTTAATAAATACTTGATTGATACACTTCAGTAAAAAACAATCACACTGAAAAGTGGGACGCGCTTTGCAAAGGCATTGGGCGCAGTACATTCTTCAAATAGGAAATCTTCTTAAAGAGTCAATGGAGAGAGCTTTAGTTTGGAAAATAGGTACAGAGTAGATACCTGCTATCTAGGATAGAAGAGGGAGGGGTGGAAAAAGAGGAGAGAGAGTTCAGATAGCTTTTCCCAGTTGGGAATGCAACACTCTGCTTGAGAAACCTGCTGCTCTACGGATACCGCATATCGCAGGAGGTGGGAGGACGCAGGCAGAATAAAGGCTCTAAGGATTCAAAGCCCTGGACCCTCCCTTCTCCAAAAGCAGAGAAAACGTGGCTGATTTTGTTTTTCCATTAAAAAAAATCCTTTTCCCTCGCCTACAGCTCTCAAATCAATCCTTTGCAAAATAAATAAATACCGATGCCAGCCAGCCCTTGCTCCTGCCTCGCCTTTCGCAGTGCAGGGCACCCCCGTAGTGTAAGGCACCCCCGTAGTGTAAAGCCGCAATCGCCCCTAGGGCAAACCACCTTCCTATTAATACAGAGAGCGCAGCCAGCGACAGCAGTGGCTGCAGCACCAAGCAGCGGCAGCGGCAACCGCCCCCCCCTCCGCCCCTCCCAGCCCGCTTACCTTCCCCAAGACCCACTCAGTGCATTTTCCTCCTCCCGCGGCTCCCAGAGACCTGCTGCAGCAAGTCACTCCCCTGCTCCAGCGGGGACTGGGGGGTGGGGTAGGGTGGGGAATTTGGTTGGTGTCCTAGCCCCCCCCCCCACCTTGGCCCGAACCTCCTCCCTCCAACCTTAACTGTCACCGCGCCCCCCTTCTCCCTATTCCCCTCCTCCCGTGCTCCCGCTGCGGCAGCTGCTCCACTCACCCAGCTCGGGCTGTGCATGAAGTCATCTCCCCCCGCCACCCCCCCCCTCCTCACTCCATTCCTCGGCATGGATCACCACACTCAGCTGCCAGCCACAGGGGGGAGACCAAACCTTTTCAGGCCCCCGGGAGTGCGCTCCCCCGGAGAGCCTGCGCGTTCCGACGTGGTTTACCCCCAATTTATACCCCCTTAAAAATAAAGCTGCAGGACTGGAGAAGAAAGGGCGACGGCTGAGAAAGATTTCTCTCTATAAAGAAGCATTTTTCTCCCCGAGCCCTCCCCTGGCATTCCCGATGGATGGATAGCTCCATCAGGCTGGAGTTTGGCTGGTCCTGGGCTCACTCTCTCGTACCCCGATCTTTATTAATGTTATGGGTTTTTCCCCCCACTTGGATTTTGAAATTAAGCGTTCTTTCCAGACCTTTCCGATAAATGCACAAAACATGCATCCGATTCCAAATGTATTTATAAAGAAAAGGTCCAAATGTTCTCCTACCCCACAAAAAACTCAAATCTTACCCACTCCCATTCCTTACCCTTCCCGACTCCAAATCTTTCATTTGCAACCCCCCACCCCATCCTAAATTCTATTCCTACCCTCAACAACTAAAACAATAAAAACAAAAACAAACAAAAAGAAAAAAAAAACAAACAGAAAAAACCTTTCCCAAGCCACTCACGGTAGCGAAATCCATCCTGCAACAGCCAGGCGTGAGTCTGCTGCTGGTAACTGCAGAGCCGCAAAGAGGCGGGGAACAGAACAGAGAGAGAGAGCAACCTGGAGAGCTGCCCTAAGCAGAATGGGACGGGCTTCTTCTGCTAGAGGGGGACCTGCAGAAGCAGGGTGGGGCCTTTTTGCAGCCTGACAAGCCGCAAGTGATGGGAGTTTCCCTTGCTGGTGTCCCTAGCATTTGGCAGCCCAGAGGTCTGCACCACCTCCTTCCCAACTGAACATTCGGGAAGCTTAGAGCCGCATAGGAAAGGGCAGGGGAGGAGAGGAGGGGGGCTGGAACCGGGTGGGGGTAGCTAGCCCCTTTGTCAAGGGGGTGGGTGGAGTTAGGAATTGATTGTTTGCATCGATGAGCCTTTGCTGTCGGTAAACTGCAGCAGGAGAAGCTAATGCTTCCAAGTTAATTGGAAGTATCCCAAAACACCAACAGCAAGGGGCAGGGGGGTACGGGGAGGAAAACCTGTGGGAATAGTTTTGCCCTAACCTTTACTGATGAAAGATGCCTAAAGGCACAAAATCCCTTTCCCATTTCCAGCAGCTGTTGTCAGGATTGCCGGTACTCTGGGTCCTTGGTTACCAAGGATTTGATGGGAAGATGAATAGGGGTCTCTAATTCTACATTGCACTTGCTTTGGTGAGGTTTCATATAGAGTCGACCATCACTGGATCAAATTGGCTTTCCGCCTCAGATTGCAGCCTAAGCAAAATCTAGGAAGAAGTAATAAAAAGGGAAGTGTGATTCAAAAAATCCTCCAAATGCATAAAATTCCTGGGAATCAATTAACCAATTTATGCTCAAAATCTATATAGACCCAATTACAAAAGCCTCTTTAAATAAACAGTGATTTCAGTAACTGGAGGAATAGTCAGGGCTAGTGGCTGGACCATACCAATAAGATTTTTTTAAAAATGACGACACTATCTAAATGAATCCACAAGTTTAGTGCCGTGCCAATTAAACTACCCAACAGATACTTTACAGAGCTTGACAAAATAATTACAAAAAGGCCATTTTAATATAGGAAGGATGTTCTTAAAAATCGAAAGCTAGTATTACTTACAATGGAAAGTACTAGAAGCTTTCGTCATTGCAGGGGAAAGCTGACATCAAGGGACTGCAGAAGGACCAGCTGATAAAATAAACACCTCCTCCACCTAGCTGGCTAATACCTGAAACGCAAAAAATTGTAGAATCACAAAAACTGAGAGTTAGAAATGATCTCAGAGGTCACTTAATACCACCTATACCTGAACAGAAATTTCCTTTACCCCATCCCAGTCATCCAACCTCAGTATGGAGCGGGTTAATCCTGGGAACCCACTCCCACCTGAGGTAAATTTGAAAAGGCACTCCCTAGCAGAAGCTTAAGGTTGATGAATCTTTTTAAAATGAAAACATCCCTTTGAGAGAGAACACACAAAATCCCACTTTATGTCTCAATTACGTCTCAGTGTAAATGGACCGACCACAAAATCTTCCAGTTAATTTAGATCCCAGAAAGAGCATTAAAGGCCAGGGTGTCTGAAAGGGGAAGAAGAGGAATTCTCTGCCTGGGGCAACAGCAGTAAGATTCTTTTTATTTAAGGTCTTTCTTACAGAAATAGGGACATCCCTATCACGGTGTTTTAAGCAAAAACGGGGTGACTCGTTGCTCGAGATTGCAGAGATTCGTATTTAATGTAAAGGTTGTATTAAATCTATGGTTTGATTTGTACAGCTTTAGACTTGGGACTTCCCAGGAAAGCTTCTAGAACAAGTAGGTTATATTTGCTGATGAATAAAGTATCCATAGGATGCTTTTCCTTGCAACTTCATGCTCCTCAAACTTTTGTAATCCATCTCTTGGTCCCATGACTGTCCTGAAACGATTCTCTCCAAGATCACCAATGATCTCTGAAATTCTAAAGCATAGCCCTCATACTCCTTGACCTTTCCTTATTATAATAAAGAACTTTGAGTCTTAATTCAAACAAATGTCTTACCTTTGTGAGAGGTGGTGAGGCCCCAAAGCTTTCTACAGGAGAAACTGAGTCATCAGGACATTGGAAGAATAGCTGCCCAAGTACATGCTTAAGGTGGGTGTGAACTGATAATTGTACTCTTTCATTTTCCTGGTAAGCTTATTTGTAATATGTGCATGTATTTTTTTTCATTTCCCTTAAGATTTTGTTAACCTTTTGTTATTTCAAAATTTTTCATTATTATTTTCTCTAGTTCTATAAACTATTCCCTTGGTAATTTGGTATAACACTAAATTTGTGAATTGGTTTAAGTAGTATTGTCATTTTTATTATATTGGCATGACCCAACTATGAGCAATAAGTATCCCTCCAATTATTTGTCATCCTTTATTTTTAAAGGGTTCTTTGCAATTGTATTTGTATGAGTCTTGAGCATACCCTGATAGATCTACTCCTAGATATTTTATGCATTGATTTATGTTATTTTGTATAGGACTACCTTTTCTTTTTTCCTATATTTTGTGATATTCATATATATTTAATGTGTATACTATATAGAAATACTATTTACTTTTATGGGTTTATTTTGTGTCCTACTACTTTACTAACAGTACTTATCAGTTTCTTTGTTGATTTTTTGGGGTTTCCTAAATAAATCATCATGTCATCAGCAATCATGAATAATTTTGTCTCTTCTTTGTCTATATTTATAACTTTAATTTCTATTAGCATTTCTAAAATTATCCCAAGTAATAGCCAAAAAAGGCAATATTTGTTTTACTCCAAATTTATTGGGAAAGCTTCTAGTGTTTCCTTATTGGAAATGATGTAGATTTTTACATACATATGCACATATACATATATGTATGTATTATGTGTGTATACATATAGGTTTATCATATTAAAATGTCTTTTTGTTTTGATTTTGTCAAGCTCCATAATGCTCTATATCCCTTAGGTAGTATAGCACTAATTCTGTTAACTTAGTTATCATTTTTATTATACTGGCAAGGCCCAGCATGAGCACTTATTATCCTTTAATTTTTTGGTCATTCTTTATTTCTTTAAAGAATATTTTGTAAGTGAATATAGGTAGAGTGTGCCTTAGTATATTGAGTCACAGATACTTTATGCATTTTGAATGGAACTTCCTATTTTATTATTTCTTTTTTCATATAATTATAGTTTTAGGTATATATATGTATATTTATGTGTGTATGTATTTTAAAGGTTCTAAACCTGCTTTGTAGGATCTTTACTACATATACTTTGGCAAAAGCCCTTTCTACATCTATTGATATAATCATTTGGTTTGGGATGTTTTTGCTTTGAATATGATTTAATTATGTTATTTTCTCAACATTGAACTATTCTTGCATACCCATTATAAGTCCAATTTGGTTAAAATGAATAATTATTTGTTATGTTATTGTCTTTTTCTAGTAATTATTTAAAAATTTGCACTCAGTATTCAACATGCATGAGTCTCCAAACAGGGCTGAATAGTAGTACACATGTTAAATTCTAACTCTAGTAATAGAGAATGCTAAGTGAGTGATACTAATTGTTTTGCTTGAACCAACGTAGACTCATCTTTAAATATATTCAAAACCATGTCAAAGCAGGTACTAAGGCCTTATTTTTTTTAGCCTTGAGAGGGCAGGATTTCCAATTATTTGTCATCCTTTATTTTTAAAGGGTACTTTACAATTGTATAAGTTTTAAGCATACCCTGATAGATAGACCTGCTCCTAAACATTTTATGCATTGGTTAATGTTATTTTGAGTAGGGCTACCTTTTTCTATTACTTTCTCCTATATTTTGTCATATTCATATATATGTATATATATGTATTATGTTTCGTACAAAGAAATACTTTTTATTTTTATGGGTTTATTTTGTATCTGATGATTGCAGTCCTCAAATATTTGAAGGATTATTACAGAAAAAAAAATTACTCATTTTCTTGGTCCACAGGCAAAACCTGTATCAGTGGATTTGTTATATGAAGTTATCCGGCTCTGCAAGAAAGAGAATATCTGAGCAACCAGAGCCACCCCAAAATGAAATGCATTTATTTCATGTGGTGATTTTTCTGTCACTGGAGGAATTGAGTGTGCAAAACCACTTTTAGGGGATGTTGTAGAAGTATTCATGTTTCAAGTATGGATTAATCTAGAGACTTTTGAGATCCTTTTGTATTCTGAGTTCCTGTGATTCTATTATTATAGTTACCACTCTGGATTTTTCTAACTCTTAATATCAGGGTACAATTTTTCACAAGGCAAGGTGAATTATTTCAGGGAGGCATTGTTGAATCCCTGGACCACAAGTACATTAAGAAAGCATATGGGAGAAAACCAGGTGATTTCATAAACTGACTAAAAACAGCTGAGGTTTATATACATCAGCTAATAATTATCTTCAATGATCAAAACAAAACTGTAATTCCAGGCACTGTGCTTAGTATACAAAGTCAAACAGTCCCCATTCTTACATAGGAGGTGGGGGTGGGGTAAAACAACATGACATAAGAATATATACAATGTGTATAATATTAATTTTCAGTGGGAGTGAGTGGGAGGTTATTCGCAATTGTAGGGATCGGAATAGGCCCTGTATAGGCAGTCCTCAAGTGAGCTGAGCCTTGAAAGAAGCTAAAGACTAAGAGGCGAATGAGGATAGAGTGCATTCTAGGCATGAGGTAACAGCTTTGAAAAGGAACATAGAGTGGATCTAGAATACTCTATTTAAGCAATAGAAAATTTGGCTGGAATGTAGAGCATGTGAAGGGGAGTAATAGGAAATATATCTGGAAAGGAAGGGTAGAACCAGACTGAGAAGGTCTTTAAAAGACAAATAGAGGAGTTTGTACTTTATTTTAGAAGCAAAGGGAGACATTGAAATTGCTTGGGCAAGGAAGTGACAGACCTGTGCTTTATGAATGTCAATTTGGTGGCTTTGTAGAGGCTTTGGAGGGGAGACTTGATCCAGGGAGGCCAATTTGGAGGCAAGTTCAGTAGTCCAGGTGAAGACTGGTGAAGGCCTGAGC